AAATATTTTGAAAGGTCGAAAGTTTCCCATCATGTGCTGAAAAGGCTGAATATGTTGATATTTGAATTGTTTCTGTAGCTGAAGGTATGCTGAAGTTATTGAGAGCCAACAGCAAACAGCATTCACACTAATTATCTGCAACAATGATGCTTAAATCTGTTATAATCTTTTCCTGGATTCATGGCGACTAGGAAGTAGATGTGATTATTAAGACGTTTTGTAATGTAAATTTGCCTCTCTGGAACAATAACGTTTAAATCTTCCGCATACAATCCAGGACAAGTGTTTCAAAGATGTCAGATTTGAGGTGAAAGGGACGGCCTTACATGGTTTATTTTATTATTTGCAGACACTACAGTTTCTTGAAAAAGTCGAGGGGACCATTTTTCAGCAGGGGGACTATTTGTCTCACTTTAGGTTCTCCGACAAAAACTAATTAGATTAGATCAGAATATGATGTAAATGTAAAGTAATGTAAATGCAGTATGAGATAATGTCGATATGTGCTGCTGTTTTCAGCCATTACAAGTCAAAGGAAACAACACCTTTTCACAACAACAATCTGATTGTCCTGAGACCCACTTGACTTCAGTGAATGTTGGTCGTGGTTGATTTTTTACGGACATTAAACTGCAAAATATATGGTAGGATACACACCTAGAATAAACCATACTATAGTTGACAATGCAGCCTCGTACATTTGAATGTTTTAGCACATGTAACACATCTGAGTTACGGACAAAACTATCTAAAGTCTGTTCCCCTTTGTTTGAGGAACTGAATATGAAACTTCGCGAATCAAACTAATATTAGATTATTGAGCGGCCGAGAAAAAATGGTTCTGCTTTGTCTCATCACCACACTTACATGAAGTCTTAAGTGTTCGGGGGGGTACAGGTGCCCGGTGGGCCCGGATAAATATAAGCTGCACTCACAGTTCCACTGTACAGACCTCAGGAGGGACATTCAGATAAACACCTGAAAATATCTGACGATGGCCTTGCTCAAGATCGCTCTGCTTCTCGCCGTTTGTCTTGAAGGCTGTGGTGAGACTATACTTTATTTTACTAAGATTATCCTAACAAAGTCAATCGTCAAAAAATGAGAGATAATAAGATATGTAACAATGAGGAAGATTAATTAAGAATATTTCCCCCTGCAGCTTTGGCTTCAGCTTTGCAAGTTGATGGTGTGCAAAGTTTTCCTGACGACCAGAGAGCAGTAAGTACATCATTTAAAAAACTTCTTGCAACAAAAATATAATTTGGAATTAAAACACACTTGATTATGATGTTGAGGATTACAGTATGTTTGCATTGCATATCCTACTGATTAAGAACTCTGAACCCTCAGATATAGTTTATGCAAATACAAATTGTATTGTGTGGTTAAATTGTATGGTGTAATGCATTTAACAACCTTTTGCAGTGAATGAAGAAGTGTTCATATTATTGACATAAGTAAAAGTAATAAAAAATCAACAAAGTGATAATAGCAGAGTGAAAAACACTCAAGAGAATAAATGTCCTTAAAGTATTGAAGCAAAAGTATGTGTTGCCCCTAGGGCAGATATAGTAGTAAATAGGACATTAATAGTCGGTTAATACTGACGCATCAATACATAATCGTATAAGGTGGCAAATGTTGAGCTTATTATACCAGTATTAAAAACAGTTAGGTAGTTCAACCATGGCAGATTTTTGGCAGAGTGGCAGAGTGATTATCATTCTTTAAAACAGGCCACAACTAGACACTGTCGAGTCACATGTAAACGTTTTGATTTAAAAACTATACATTGTACTTCACTGACCTTAAAAAATATAAACAAAATCTTAAAAAGTAAAGTACTAATATGTATATCCACCAAATTAATGCTATTGAGTAAAAGGTTAATTATTTCTCTGAGTTGTAGTGGAATACAATTATTGAGGGTACAATAAAAAAGAAAAGTGTAAAGGAAAGTGCAAGTGCATCAACAATTGTACTTACATAAACATTAGTTACTTTTCAGCAATGCTATTTTGGAGGAGCTATGGTAGTGCTTCAGGAGGACAATATGATACTTCAAGGCCATTCCATTTTTAGCAAAAAACGTAGAATTAATGGAAATGTTCAGATGAATTAAAAGCAATTAGACAAATGTAAAAAGACGTGGTTGACTTCTTACTAAGAGAACTGAGATTTGCATTTCTTCAAAATCAGGAAGTCTCTTCATGGCTGAAGCTCCACAACTTTCACATGGTTTTATACTGTTTCGATTTTGAACATAGCGGAACTGATACACTAGTTATTTCCTTGTAATACAAAAAACCTTAAAAATAACAAGAAGTGCCTTTCACAAATGTATCTCATGCTCACATCAACTTAGAATAAGGAACCTGGAGTGTGTAAGTGTTCAAATCTATTTCAGATGTTTATATATTTTCATGAGGTGCCTTTACTTTATACTCAGACTGGGGATGTCTGCCAGGACTGCACTAAAATAATTGAACTCCTTGCTGACATGATCTCCAACGCAGACCTCCAGGTGAGTACACAAGTCAACTAAGCAGTACAAGTGTTCAAGAGGATTTAATTATATAATTGATGCTAGTTTTGTCCATATTCAAGTCACGATTACACACAGAGCATCTCAAATGCTACATTTCACCCAATAATAAAACTTTTACTTCCACGTGTTCTTTCATCAGTTGAAAATCATTCTTGACATTCAGAGATGCAAATCATTTGAGATCAGGCATGCATTACAGTGATATTCAAGCATGCACAAAGTAAAGGTTCTCTTTTCTTTTTTTATGCAAAACCATTTCTCTTTTTTCTATTTCTGCAAAAAGTTGAAATGAAATTTCACAGGTTTCTCTCGTTTCTCATCTGACCCCAAAGATCCTCTTTCCTCTGAGCTCGTTCTGGTCTTTGGAGATAAAACTGTAATTGTGAATAAAGAGTTCAGTTCAGTAATTATAAATACCCAGAAACATTTTGTTTAGCAATATTGAAAATAATGCATAGTGCTTTATAAGGCAAAGTAAAGATGGAGCAACAGGAAGTGTACAAAATAGAACCTGTTACTTTGAGTGTCACATTGAAAAATTACATTTATGAGTCAAAAAACAATGTGAGACCTGTGGGGGAAACTTCTGAAGCAATTGGAAACAGGACTCAGAGAGACACGAGGAGAGCTGGAGCTTTGGTGGCAAACACTGGTGGTTTATTTGGAGTTACGGCCGGAGAATTCACAAGACAGGTGGTGTGTCACGAGTTGACACAGCGGTTGCCAAACCAATTCTGAAGAACTCTTCTGCAGCTCGAGGTTTTAACTAGTCGGAGTGTAATAAACAACATTCTTTATCAGTGAGTCTAAACAATTATGGACCCTGAATCTAACTAGAGCATCCATTGAAAAGAATGTGCGTCAGGGAACCTACGTCCCTGAACAGTAAACTACCTCATGGCGGCTTGTGCTCTGTCATAGACTGGCAACAACAATGCGCCCAAGCTGCTACTCGTTAAGAGAGATAGCAGCAATACCCAAGGCCGTAGACCTATGCCATGAGAAAGGAGACAGTGAGAAGAGAAAATGATTAACTGTGTCGAAGGTTGAATACCTAAGCAAATTATTCCCGAACAAGACCTTGCTGTAAACCAGGGGTGTCAAACTCAAATACACAGTGGGCTAAAATAAAAAAATCGGTACTAGTCGAGGGCCGGACTGGTTCAATGTTTTTTGCAAAACTTATTGGAATGAACTTATTGCACATATTAAACCTGGAACTAACAAAGCTTAAATGATTGCCTATAAAAACTACATTAAACATTAAATAATCAGTTGCATTCATTTCTTATGGCTCTATCTGCAGCTTTTCCAGAGTCATTTCTTATGATTACATTTTCCCACAGGCCAACAACAG